TCCATGCATTTGGCTTAAATTCGTGTTAAAAAAATGAAACAAAGTAAAATTAACACTCGAAAAGCAGTCTTTTACATTTTAACGATTTTCTCGGAAAGTATAATAGATAGAATGGAACAAAAAGAAGCATATTAAAGTTGAATATTTGGTAAAATGTAACGTGTATTCCATTATTGCAGTAGTTCCATCCATTTGGCTTAAATTCGTGTTAAAAAATAAAGCAATGTAAAGTTAACGCTCGAAAAACAGTCTTTTACATTTTAACGATTTTCTCGGAAAGTATAATAGATAGAATGGATCCAAAAGAAGCATATTAAAGTTGAATATTTGAGGAAATGTAGCATGTATTTCATTATTGCAATAGTTTCATCCATTTGACTTAAATTCGCGTTCAAAAAATGAAGCAATGTAAAATTAACGATCGAAAAACAGAGTTTTACATTTTAACGATTTTCTCGGAAAGTATAATAGATAGAATGGATCAAAAAGAAGCTTATTAAAGTTGAATATTTGAGGAAATGTAGCATGTATTTCATTATTGCAATAGTTTCATCCATTTGCCTTAAATTCGTGTTAAAAAAATGAACCAAAGTAAAATTAACGCTCGAAAAGCAGTCTTTTACATTTTAACGATTTTCTCGGAAAGTATAATAGATAGAATGGATCCAAAAGGTGCATATTAAAGTTGAATATTTGGGAAATGTAACGTGTATTCCATTATTGTAGTAGTTCCATCCATTTGGCTTAAATTCGCGTTCAAAAAATGAAGCAATGTAAAATTAACGCTCCAAAAACAGTGTTTTATATTTTAACGATTTACTCGGAAACTATAATGAATTCAAACGTTGCACATGAAAGCTGGATGTTACAACGCTCGAAAAAGCATTTGATTTACTTTCTCGGAAATAGTAATTGATTAAATGAATTCAAACGATCCATATGAAAGCTGGATGTTTGAGGAATGAAACGAGTATTCATACATACCCGTGGTTTCATTAATTTCGCGATCAAAGTCTTCACGTTTTAGCGATTTTCTCAGAAACTATAATATATGGAATAGATACAAAATATGCATAAGAAACTTGAATTTTTGGTAAATGTAACGTGTATTATATCATTGTTGTGTTTTAATATATTTGGCTGAAAATCTTGATCAAAAAATGAAGCGATATAAAATGTACGCTCGAAAAATGTTTTCAGTTTTTAACGATTTTCTCAGAAACTATAATAGATAGAATAGATCCAAATGATTCATATTAAAGTTGAATATTTGGGAAATACAACTTGTTCTAAATTATTGCTGTGATTTTATCCATATGTCTGTAATTCACGTACAAAAATAAGTAATAAATATTGCTCGAGATAGTTGGAAAAAAAAACTTGTATATAAACTCATCTATAAAGCTGCTATTCAAAACCATTTATTCGCAATGCAAATCCGTTGCACTTTATAATAGTAACCATTCATATTCATACCAATCATATCTGATATTAACTTCTTTCTAAATAATGAAAAAAATGATTAATTAATTAATAAACTAGCTCTTTCATTAAAGCGTACTCATTCATGCTTTAATCTTTTCAACGATCTAAAGTTCATTCATCTAAAATTCATTTAACTAAATACACACAAAAATTGATGTGAATTATATTTTTATAACAATTTTAGAACGAACGAATTCATATTTATCAGAGCCTGACACTGCGTTTTGTCTTTAACCTTATGTTTGACTCTTTAGAAACTCATTGTTTTCTTTTTGCAACGCAATATGCGATTGTTATGAAATACGTTTGCTGAAATTTCATACTGTAACCAAATCTGAACAGCAAATTTATGTTTATAAAAATTAAATGTTATCATATATTATGAATCATGAATACGCAAACATTGATATCTGTTTATTTAAAGAAACACAATTTATCTTTTATACAGTTTATTTTCTTTGTTCTTGAATATAAACGATAACACGAAACCGCAGACATAATTTATGTTGTTTCTTATGTGATTTAGTTGTAAATAAAAGAAATTTATTAATTGTATTAATCATTAAATTGTTGCTGATTCTTATGAAATTAGAAAGTATATTTCTAAAACAGTTCTTGTACAGATATAAAAACACAAAGCAAATGAAAACAAAGTAAAATCGAAACAAAAAAAACACACAAACACATTCGATGATTGCATTGTATGGGAATTTAAAGGGTGAAACGATCAACAAAGGTTGTTCTGACCACGAACCGTGATATATGCCGGAAATTTAATACATATTAAACCGGATGTGAGCGGCATGTGCAAAAGGGTACATATTTAATATAGAGTTAATGCTGGATGCATCATTTCCATCCAATTTTTAAGTTCAAAATATTTTGTAGCAAACTCGAATTCCAGAGTGTTTTTTGTTGTTGTACTCTGTGTTCGTGCTTTATGGGTTACTTTCGCAGAAATGCACACACGCACGCAGTCGGGTTTTCTTTGTTGTTGCTGCCCCCTCACAGTTATGAGCAGCGGAGTGTAACTCAAATTGTTGCAATTATTGTTGTTAACAGGAGCAGAAACTCAGACGTAGATTCATTAAATTTCTGTACATGCAGTATATGTATATATTTCGTAAAGCTTTTACAACTAGAGACATTTATCAGTGTCGCAATACAAAGTATAAAGTAAAGGAAATAATATAAACTTGTCTGCGCTTTCATTCAACGAATTGCCGAAAGTTTCGAAGAACTTCTTTTATTCTGTAAATGCCGCAGTTCTGCTTTCTAAGTTTTTTTTTCCTTGAATTGTGGATGTAGTTTGGAAAGTTATAGAAGATATCGTGAAATTATAATTAGAAAATGTTAAATTTTATTGCAGTATTATAATAAATCAGATTAAAAAGTATCCTTGTCATAATTTACTACTTATAAATAAATGAAAATACTGAAGTTGTTATGTTGAAAGTTTTATGAATCATAAATATGTAAATTGTAAAAAAAAAGTGTTATATTTCTTTTAAAGACATTCAAAATTTATATTTATTGGAAAACTTCCATAAAAAGTAATTATTAAGATAACCTTCAACTTAAAAAAAAAATTATTTACTCGTTCTTCCCTTAATTTAGTCCCTTAATTACTAATTTATTAATGAACATTTTGATTATTGAAGTTGTAAAATATTCATAAAATAAAATTCAGTATTTCGAACTTAAAAAACGATTATAAGTTGTAATACTTCGAGAAAATGCAATCAAAAATATTCAACGAGATTTTATAAATTTGGTATCTATTTTTTAACTGCATGTACTTTCTACAAGACAATTAAGATGATAAAATTCATGAAAGAAACTTTGAATTTGAAATTGGAAAGTTTGTACTTGTATTAAATCAAAGTTGTCCTTCAAGATACATTAAGAAAATGTTAAAATTGATATCTATTTGTTTTATTAATTGATTTCTGACAAGACAGATGTTCAAATTTGTATTTTGTAATTGTAAAACTTTGATAAATATTTACATATACAAATTACTAATTTATTAATGAACATTTTGATTATTGAAATTATAAAACATTCATCAAATAAAATTCAATATTTAGAAAACGATTAAAAGTTGTAATACTTCGAGAAAATGCAATCAAAAAGGTTCAACGAGATGTTATAAACTTGGTATCTATTTCTTACCTGCATGTACTTTCTACAAGACAATTAAGACGTTAAAATACCTGAAATAAACTTCGAGTTTTAAATTGGAAAGTTTGTACTTGCATTAAATCAAAGTTGTCCTTCAAGATTCATTAAGAAAATGTTAAAATTGATATCTATTTGTTTCATTAATTGATTTCTGACAAGACAGATGTTCAAATTTGTATTTTATAATGTAAAACTGTGATAAATATTTACAAATTATTGTAGGTTGTACCAATTACTTTACTACGTAGAATATGAATTAAGAATTACTTCACATTAAGAATTAATCATCATTTTATTGAAGATACTCTAAAATTGTATAACAATTAGTCTTTATTTCTTTTCATAATTAACAGATTGTTGTTGCAATATTTCTATAAAAGGTAATAATTCTGTAATGATAGATGATTGAAAATCATTATTACGGTATGCTTTTCTAATATTAGTATATTTTTTTCAACATATTTTCCTTTTTGAAACTTCTCTTAACGAGTTTAATCCGCAAGTTTTTTTTCATTTTTCTTACAATATTACTCGTTAAGCGAAATGTTCGTTATTCAAAGTTCTTGTTAAGCGAGGTTCCACTGTCTATATTTTTTTTTAAATAAATTTACTAAAATTGTATTTGTTTCTAATTCAGTTTCAGGTGAACTGAAAATAGTGAACTTCAAAGTACCATCGACGATAGAGTTCGGCTACAGCGACGATCTGATCCTGGACTGCGATTACTACGTGAAAGGAAAAGAGAGCGGACTCGAGGTGAAATGGTTCTTTACCAACGGCGAAGTGAGCAACGAGCAAATCTACCAATGGATTCCGGAAAAATCGAAACCGGCGGCGATGGGTTTCCTCAGGACCCACCTGGATCTTGGATACACCGCATCCACCGATCCGAAGACAATGTACAGAGCCCTGAAGATCAGAAACATCACCAAAGATTTGACGGGGAATTACACATGCAAAGTTACAAGTTTCTTCAGCGAGGATACTTCCACGAAACCGATGACCATTTACGGTGAGGATCAGTTATTCGGCCTTTCGAATGATTCATTTTAATACCAAAGTCTTATCGGTTTCTACTCTGTTTCTTCCTCTTCGTTGTTGTGAAACTTCAATTGAGTGCGGTGTTTGTTCGGGTGCATCGCAGTGTGACGATCTGGCTCGTGCTGCTTCTTCTATCATTAAATATAGAGGGGAAAACTGAGATGTACAAATTGCCAGACGCGCTCGTTACATTTTTTTCTCTTATCTGTGCGGCGCTTCAATTCAATTTGTCTCAATAAATGATCAACAAGAGTCGCATATCAATAAATTATTGTTATCTCTGCTTACAGATTACGCGTTACGTTCAGATTACGAAAGTTTCTGTTGGCATACGATTCTTCGACATAAAGTTCCGTTTACATCTTATATATGACACCAATATATATATATATATTTCTTTACTTCATTCATTATTGGTATTTTCCAACTGATTACAAATTGTTATTAATTACTATACAATTACGATAATAGACAACATAAACATTTGTATAAATATCTAATTTCGACGATGCATTCTTTGCATAACATTTCTTCTAAAATATTCCATTAATCCAATTTATAGATAAAATGAAAATGAAAAACTAAATTATTGAATGATCACAATTTTTAACTCTTTGAAGGGCCAGAAATTCCTAAATTTCTAGACCCAACTGAATCAGACAACTTCGTCAACTGAATCATTATCGAATAGTATGGACTATAAAAATGTAAGGGTAATTCTTCTTTCCTGGACATTTCCAAAGGTGATGGTACATTGCATATGCTACCATCCCTCAAAGAGTTAAACCATTCTTAGATCTTAGATTTCATTAACCAATTAAAGAATTTTTATAATTATACAAATATTTCTTAACTTTTATAAAAAAAAATGCGTACTTTTAAGCTTCAAAGAACTAACACTAAATTCGTCTTGATGTAAGCAAGGATATTTAAATACTTCTCTTCACAATTGACAACATTCGAATCAATGTTAAGTAACTTTGTATAAATCTGTATTAATAATCAAAGATTGGAGTTTCAGTTGATAAATGAACAAATTTTCTAGTTCAACTAGAAGATCTTCGTAATCAATTATAACAAATATTATACTTGATGTTTTTACCAAATAATGATTCATAACATCTTAGTTTTTACAATATATCCATTCCAAAACAACTTGATTATATGATGATTCAGAATATCTAATCTTCTTTGATACTAGCCAATTGTTATTGAAACATGATTTCTTTGACATTCTTTGATACTAAACAAATATGCTTTATTTTGGATGAAGATTTGAGATTGTTATTGATTTTTGTTGTTTTTTTTAGAACCGGCAAAGGACTTTGAGTTGATTAACTTGGAAGAATCCAACACTGTGTTGTGTTCTGCGTACGGAGTTTACCCGAAACCTGTGATGAATCTGTACATATTAAATTCGTAAGTTATCTTTATTGAAGACTTTAACAATAAGATTGTAATAATTAACATCTATTTGTTTAACAGGACGGATAGTTCAGAGAATCAGGATAACAGCAACGAAACCCAAAGCAGTCAAATGTTGGATTTGAACGCAGATTATGACGGAGACGAGGAGGATGCGAGCTTCGAGAAGGACGAGAACGACGTCTACAACGTGACGTTCTCGAAGACATACGACGCCGAAAGCATGAACGACCTCACCACCTTCGTCTGCGATCTCTCCATTCCAGGCACAACGTACAAGAAAACCAGAAAGTACTTGTACCTTCCAGGTAGGTCCTTCAATCTTAAACTAGATTAAACATCGATCATGCATCATCATACATAAATCATGCTGCTCAATTTACTCTAGGATTTCCGACAACAACAACAATCGACGAATATTTAAGCGAATATGACTTTGATAATTATTATTACGAGACTCCCACGAACGCTACCGAACCAGGTACTTTGCTATTAACACCTAAGAGTTTTTATTTTATTTTTTTGTTACCTTTACGTCCCACATTAATAACAAACATACAATTATTATTGAATGAAAATAAAACGACATTCGATACGATCGGCGCAGTTTTCGTTTCGCTTCCATAAAACGCGCAGAAATCCTGCTTTTGTGTTTTTTTTAAGTTCTTTTGAGTAAATTAAACAGTTTTCGTTTTGTTTACGCGTAAAATCGCGAAAAATAAGTTTTTTTTTATTGACGCGCGTGGTTAATTTTAAATTTGATGAAAATTACTCGTAAATTTCTGTCGAAACATCCGAACACGTTTAGAAACGATTTCCGCTCATATACTTATATAATTGCTTGGTGCAAATACGTCGACTGTCTGTGTAAATATTTTGGCTTCTATATAGAGAAATCAATTACATATTGTCTTGACTATTTATAAGTTCGGAATCTAAAATACGCTTGATTCTCTCCAACTGACTTTCGTTTTAATCGGATACTAAAGTTATGCACAGTGTATTTTTTGTTAATTTGAGCATTTTTAAATTCATATTAATTAAATTAAACTTTGAATACATGTGTTCTTGCATATAGTTTACAACAAGCATTCAAATGCACTTTAAGTGACGTTTCTAAAAGTCATCTAAACAAACTTCAATAACTCTTGGCAATCTGAAAATAACGTTGACTTTTCATCTTTCAAATGTATATAATTAATCTTTCAGTTTGTTGCACAAACTAAGTTACATACTTCAGAACAGAATCATTCAGTTTGTGAATAAATAAGAAAAAACGCAACAGAAGAATTCGTTTCTTTGGAAAATATTTATTTCAAAATATAAGCTTCTCGAAATCAAAATACTTTAAAAGTAAAAAATACATGTTAACAAATATGTTATGTTAGTAGTACATTGTTTTTTTTTTGTTGTTTTTCTCTTTTTTTTGCAATCATTTACATCTGGAATATGGTGTGTATAGTATATACGAAAAATAATAGCACTTTTTGTTTTGTTTCCTCTTGCAGAGAACAGCAGCACAAGTGTAGCAAGTTGCAGTTTGCTGGTATCGACCATGGGATTCATCGCGCATTATTACAAGAACTATCTTCAGAGTTAGAGAACAAAAGAGACGACAGAAAACAAAATATTTTAAAAAGAAAGAGAAAAAAAAAATGAGGATACGTTACAGAAACTAGTAGATGATATGCGGCAACAAAAGGATTGTAATATACTGTACATTGTGTGTATATATTGTAAAGAAAGTGAACGTAAACTACACCAAAATGATTATGCCAAAAAAAAAAAATTATTATAAACATTACATATTATTATTATTTCTTGTTAAATGTTTTTCTTTTCCTTCTTTTCTTTGTATATATGTTATAACCTCTATTTATATGATAAAAAATACTAGTCCAATATAATAAATACAAAGTGAAAATAATAATTAACGGACTTTTTTTTTTGCCTTCTTGAGAATTTTCAATAATTTTCTTGCAAGCGTTTCCATCCAATATATACGATCATCATAATCCTTTTCTTTCCATTACACGTACCTATGTACAATTTTCTTTGTCATTACTATTCCCGCAGAACAAAACAATCATCGTGTAATCACTTAAAGTTTATGATACAAAAAAAAAACACTAAACTATGTTTTATTTCATTTTTTTTTTGCTTCTTATATACAAAATGAAATTAACAAAAAAAAAATATATAGAACGGGGAAAAAAAAATCTTAAACTAAGTTAATCGATATGAAATTAACAAAACGTATCAATGAAATTCAACTAGTTTACGCTGACAAAACAACAATTTGAAAATAAATGCCTTTTGTCATTTCTCTCGTTTTCCGGTACACGAATTCACGCAAAGTTGCATCAAAATCACTCGTCGACGGCTTCGTTTGGTAATATTTTAATCCAAGCCTCTTCCTCCTCGCCCTTCTCGTTAGGAATCCTCACCGCCACCAACTGAATAGGACCGTCTTTAGTATGTATGATTTGCGTCTGCCCATTCGCAATAGCTTCTTCAGTTAGGAGACCTTCGTAATCTTCGGTGGTAGCCAATATGTGTTCACCTTCTTCGCCCTCCATGTCTGCCTCGTCGGCTTCAGCAAATTGAATTTGCTATAAACATGAATTAATAAAGATTAATAAACTGTTTTATTTTTATCAAAATTAATCGTTTGCAACTTACTTGACTATCAATGATAATGTGTTCGGCTTCGTCTCCGTTATCTCCCAATATCAAAGTGCCTTCAGATGATTCCAAGACTTTAGCACCATCCACTAACATGGCGTGTTCCGAAATATAAAGCTTACTATCCTCCTGCTGATTGCTTTCTTCTTCGATTGTCTCCAACCTGCTGACATCGCCTTCAACGATCTCCATCTCTCCGTTAGCATTAACCTATATAAAAAAAACACCTCGTCAATAAAGTGAAAGAAAAATGATTAGAAATAATTGCACGTACCGTGATAATCTGATCATCATCTGTAGTTAGACGTGGTTGATTGACCACGATGGTATCGTTCAAATGGCCTTGCGATTGCATATGCTGATACAGCAACGGTTTCCTCATGAATCCAGCTCCGCAAACCAAACATTCGTATGGTTTCTTATCGGAATGAACAAACCTGTGAGCATTCCTGTTATCCCTGCTGTTGAAAGCTTTGCCGCAGACTTCGCATAAGAACGGCTTGTCTCCTGTGTGGATCCTGCGATGCTTCTTGAAATGTTCCGGATAAACGAAAGTAGCATCGCAAACGTTGCATTTAAATGGTCTCTCTCCTGTGTGAGCGGCTTTAGTGTGGTAGTCGAGTAACCGCCTCCTCTTAAAGCCTTTACCGCAGATATCACACTTGTAACGTTTGTCGTCGTAATGCGTTGCCCTCTTGTGTGATTGAAGATTTGAACGTTGGCTGAACGTGGCACCGCAGAATTCGCACTGGTACGGCCTCTCGCCAGTGTGTGTTCTCTCGTGATCACGGATCTCGGCTTTACGCGCGAACGCCTTTCCGCATAATCCGCAAATGAATGGCTTGTACCCAGTATGAACTATCGAATGTACCTCTAAATTATGTGCTGAACCAAATTGTTTATCTGGAAGAAGTTACAAGTATTTTAAAAAAATCTATAATTGTTTTAAATGCCAATTTAACTTACCACAAAGGTGACACGAAAATTCTTTAATTCCGGTATGGGTACGCTCGTGCTGCGTTAAATTCTGCTGACTCAAGAAAGACTTGTGACACTGTTGGCACTGGAATGGTCTTGGTCTAACTTCATGTGTTTTTTCGTGTGCTTTGAACGTATACTTCGAAGCAAAGTCCTTGCCGCATAATTGGCAAATATAAGGTCTTAGACCTGTGTGGGTGTTCATATGTTCTTCCAGCAAATTTTTAGAACTGAAAACAACAACAGATCATGTTAAAATCAACTATTCACAAACATGTTTTAGATATTAAATGTGTGCAAGATTTTGAATCACTTAAAACGATTAAATGTATACAAAAGTAATGATAATTACCTATATTTTTTGCCGCATCTGTCGCATGCCCAGGCCTTATTTTGCGGGTAGTGCATTCGTTTGTGGATGCGGAATAATCGCAGATTACTGAATATGCGATTGCAGACTTCGCATTGGAAGTCTCCCTCCTCGGTGGCCACATGCTCGTCAAGATGAAGAGATAAATCGGTCCGTTTCTTGAAGTCATCACCGCACACATCGCAAATATAAATGCGAGCATCGTGAGCGACTTTAATGTGTTGAGTAATGGCTTTAGATTCGCCGCAGACAGTTTCATCGCCCTCGCATAGCAAACACGTATACAAATCGCCTTCCCTGGACACCATCTAAATGAAAACAAACAAACAAAATACATGACGATATTCTGGATAAAATTTTATGAAACGTACGTCTTCCTGAATGACCTCCTCCTTGATCTTCTTCAACGGAGGTTCCTTCTTGTTGTTTACCAAAATATTGATGTTCTTTCTCTTCAATATGTTAGGTCGATCATCGTCGATGTTCGCTTCTATTTTGATCTCTTTACCGAGCTGCTTTTCAGCTATAGCGGCGGCTTCCAGCAAAGCTTCTGTGTTGTCTTGCGATTGTTCGCCGTCGTGGTCTATACCAATGTGTCCATGGATCTCCACTTCTTCGTCGTCATTCTTGAAATGATAGAGCTCCTGTTCTCCTTCCTCCATCTCCTCTCCCATCGTCTCTTCCTCCTGCTTCTCTATTCCTCCGTGCATCTTCACCAATTCCATTTCAATTTCTTCCATGGTGTGCAACGTGGGTTTCTTCATAACAACCGTCTGTACTTCGTCTCCTTCCTAAATTAAACAACAAACAAATCTATTACTATAATTCTCACCAGTAACAACCATTTTTTTGTTTGTTCATTTGTTCTAATACTTTACTTAAAAGGACAAAACAATAACAACAAACGTCAAATTTATATTGACATTAAGGCATCAACGCTAGCTGGATATATATGTATGTACCTAACTAATTTCCAAAAAATTATAAAATGATATTTTAGCGAGAAATTACTACCTGCAATGAGCGCTTTTATGTTGAAATTGCAGCTGTCCTACAACCAGCCTCACACAATAGTACCTATTTATATTTTCCATTCAAAACTTCTATTTGTTGAATCAATGTTCAAATTTTTAGAGAATTCACTAACATTCATACAATAAATTCCTCATCATTTTGATTTTAGTTTTAGACACCAATGCTTATTAATGAATATGCTATAGTAGAAATGTTTCATTATGACATATGTCACATAATTAATAATTTTAAGTGATTATATTAATATTAACACTTAAGAATAATTGAAGTTGCAATGTTTTGTTAATGAAATGTATAAATAATTACATACCTGCTCTGTCTCATCATCTGAAGATGGTATATTCAAAATGGTCTTTGGCATTCGGATCTCTTCAACCTCCTGCTCCTCCTCTAACACCTCCTCTTCAACCTTCTCCACATCCTCATCTTCCATCTTCTGGTTGGCATCCTCAATTATGCACACAACATTTTCACCAAGCTTGTGTTTGGCCACAGACTTCTTGTAGCTGTTCACCAAATCAAGTTTCACCTCAATCAATCGACTCTCCATCTCATCTATCTCATCAAAGGATCTGAAGCACTTCCTGCATATCAATGGAGAATGAACAGTGTCTTCACTTATATCTTGACCCAAGACTTGAGCAATAATAAAACTGAGTGGTCTGGATGAACAAGTTTGTGTCTGTAGAGGAAATAATTTTGTCATTAATTTTTGTTAGGTTAGAGAATTAATTGCTTGCTTACATCTCCTTCGAAGATCCTGAGTGCACTTCTGTTCGTCAGTTTCCCATTGCATATCAAGCAGATGGGACTGCTCGACTCCTCTTGGGAAATGTTCATACTGAAAATGAAACAATGTTTGGTGGTTAATTAAGGAATTGGCTGCAAATTGTGGGAATGTGATTAATTGATTTAAACTAATGAAGAATTACCAGAAGAATCATCATTATGTTTTGTATTGATGTCTGAGTGTTGTGAATGGTTGAGAAAGACATGTTTCTTCTGATCTTGCAAATATACAATATTAATATGTTAATGTTACATCACTGCATTGGAAACGGTGGTTTGTTTTGTTTTGCGTGGATTTCGCGTTGGTGAAGTACATCAAAAATGATTGTGGCAATGATTTTGGTTAAAATAAAAAGTTCCCCTAGACTTGGAAGAAATTCCCTCCTAATGTGCTACACGCAAAATGCCTATCTTTATGATGGAGCGGCGTCGTAGGAATTCCCGGACGACGAAAATGTCGGCATCGGATTGGGAACGGACAGAGGCCCCATCGAACGGCCCTGTTACGGCCGCACGGCTTATGTAACGGCGGCATACGCATTAATTCAGAGAAAATGTGAATTACCTTTTTGAATTTGTCAGTTCGTACATGTAATTTTAGGGAAACATTTAATTTTTGTGAAAAACAGGGCTGACGCCAACAAATGCTGCCAAGCTAGAGAAATGACGCGACGAAAAAGGGGGGCCACTTGGATGGATGCACGTACTGTTGCCACACGTCGAGCTTTTCAGGCTTGGCCTTGCCTTGCCTACTACTGCGATGCTGCCTATACACTCCTGAGTCGTTATAACAACGCGCATATGCGAGAACTTACTCCATTTTGCTTGGCGCCATTTTCAAGATTTCAAAAATCATACAATCCTTCTACGCCCTCAGCATCCCTTATTTTACCTACAGAAATAATCCCATCTACCCGATCCCTTCGTCCATTCATCAAACTGTTTAAAACATGGCTCACATTCAACGTAAACAGTGTTCCCAATATTAAATTATTAATTTTTAAACCTAGCTCTACGTACGTACGTTGACTTCAGTATTGATTTCTACCAGTGCGTTATGCATCTATTAATTTTTATCTTTCCCTCTCAAACGTTTATCCATAAACAAACCAATCTTAATTTCAGCTACCACAAATTTAATAGCTTCACATTCTCATAATAAACCACAAACCAAAAATATCTTTTTCCTACAGGGACGTACTCAGCTTATATTCCTTCATTATAATAAACCTTTCTTATTTCCAATATCAAATTTTACAACGAAATAAATTTAACTTTTTTTAAATTATTTAAATGTTGTTATTCACATCATACTAAAAGTTTGGTCAATTTTGCCACTTTTTGTTCTAATTATAATTGATATACGTAGACTATCGTTTAACCATCTTCTTTGAGATAAAATAAAACTAATTTAAATTCAAATCTATTTTCTAGCATTGTTTTTTGTACTATAATAGAAAGCTCTTTTGTGGAAACTGGCGAAACTGAAGAAAACATTCATAGTTTTCAATATTATTTACATTGAGACAGTTTTCATAATATGTTATACTTTCTTAACAAAATTGTTGGATTTTGAAACTTTTCCTTTCCTATATATTTAAAAAAAAAGGTTTAATTCGTAAAGGCTAATTTAGCTTGGATCCATGATACAAATATAATGTATATTTAGATCTACAGTAACAACTGTATATTTTTTCAAATTCAATGAGTCACTAATCAATTTCTAAAGTTAGTAAACAAATATTTAATAATATTAAAGAAACATTACTGTAGATAAATTTTGACTTATTAAATTAAGTTAACTGAGGATGCATTTCTAAATAATTTATATTTTAAGTTCAAGATTAGTATCTCGCTTGATACCACGTTCTGATTACTGCTTGCTGATTACGAAACGTTCTATTTACATTTGATTTAAGCCTACTTATTTTTAATATTTCGTGTATTGTTGACAACAATTTGTTATTGTCTCCATGTAAATATACAAATAAATGAATTTCAAACGATTTTCATGTCATTTTATTTTTAATGTATCCGAAATCTATTGAAAACTATATGAATCAATATAACTATTGAAATTAAACTCATTAATATGAGATTCTCATCCAGATTGACGATATTGGATTTCTTTAAATAAAAGTTGATACTAAATGATGTTTATTTCTTGATGAAGCTGATGATCTAGCTGACAGTCAGAAAGTTAACTGAAGACCTTGAACTTATGGAGACCGGTCTGAAGGTTCCACGAGGAATCGATTCAAATGAATAAGCCCTACAATACGTAAACAAGGTTATATATTTCAAAATTATTTTTATAAATCGGTTTGAATAGTAAATAGTTGTAATTATAATGTATTTTAATTTTATGCATAAGACTGTCGAAAACTTATTGTTATGTTCGTCCCAAGTCACCGAACAAGGAAACAAGTAGGAATGACGTAATATACACAGCTCCACCCTTTGTACAAAGTACTGAACAAAAGCTAGAAATTAATAAATATGAACTTAACAAATAATTTGAACATAGTTAAGAGATGGTCAATAAGTAATTATATAAATGAAAATAATAAACAATACAAAATAATACAAGAAGTCTTTATTGTTGTTTCTTTCTTGGTGTAAAATATTCAATAAAAATTACAAATACAATAAGAATCATTCAATAATTAGATATAGATAACAACAATAAATATATTTTAAATCAATTATTTTATTTTTAATGTAATATAATTATTATTTTAAATTAAAAATACAATATTTACAAAACTCAATATATATAAAAAAAAAACAACTTATTTATGTTCTAAATGGATCAGTTTAAATCATATTTGCATATCCTATATAAATTTTGGATAAAGAAGAAGCGAAAATTGTAAAATGAATTCACATGTCTTCCATGTTCCACTGTTGCCATTCCTGCCGTTCCGCCCGTCTCGCATTTTGAATCTCAAATAATTTCTTCTCGTATCCATTGGATCGGTCCACGCCATCCCATTTGTGTCCAGGGCGAATGCCAAATCTGTTCGGCATGAAGGAACCCTGGTATTGTGGTTTCGCTGCAACATAAATAATCAAATTATAAAAATGTTTAAATTAACATTAAATTAACTTACAATTGATTCCCAATTTTTCCTCAGTATCCTTCTTTTTTTTCTTCGTGTGCGCCAACATCGGGTCACCTTCACGTTCTTGATCTCTCTTGTACCGTTCCAGGTCTTCGTCGTCGGCGTACCTCGCCATGGGTTTGTTCATTTCGTAAGCATCCTGTTGCAGCTTCTCGTTGTATTCGTCCGTTTGCTTGCAACCTTTACCCCATCTCGCATACTTTTCCTTCACGAGAGCCTCCCTGTTTTCCTTCTCCTGTTTCTCCGCGTTCTCCTCCTCGACGTCCCTTATCTTCCCCGTTTTACGATTCCTCATCACCGTAGGAGCGTTCGCACCAGACACATCTTCTGAAATACTTTTGAAAAGCTCCTCTTCTCGCTTCTTCATCGCCAACGTTTCCTCCGTCAGAAGCTTAGCATTTTGAAGACCGGCATTTTTGCCGTCCAGAGTTTTCGTCATTTTGCACGATTCCGCATCGCTCGCCCATCTGCTTTTCCTACTTGGCTCACTGGATTTCGTTCTTTCAACACTCTTTTCTTTCTTTATAACGATATCATTGTTTTTATCACATCTAAAAGGACTGTTTCTTTCAGCGCGATTTCTTCTCGGTGGGCTGTTATCATGTTTCCGGTAATCAACTTTTCTATTTTTTCTTGAAGAATCGTCTTCTTTATTCCTTCTTGGTGGACTAGCATCTCTTCCTTTATTTCTTCTTGGCGGGCTTTCGTCGTCTCTCTTTCTTCTCGGTGGACTAACATCACCTCCTCTCTTTCTTCTTGGTGGACTGTTATCATCTTTTCTGTTCCTTCTAGGCGGACTGAAATCATCGTTTCTTTGTTTTTCTGTATTTCTAGAACCACCACTATCGTCATTTCTATTCTTTCTTGGCGGACTGGAGTCATTATTTCTGTTTTTCCTAGGCGGACTATTATCTTCATTTTTTATCTTTCTTGGTGAACTATTGACGCCACTCCTATTCCTTCTTAGTGGACTATTGTCATTTCTATTCCTTCTGGGAGGACTATGGTCATCATCATCTTTTCTATGCTTTCTTGGTGGGCTATTATCATTGTATTTATTCCTTCTGGGAGGACTATGGTCATTATCATCATTTTTATGCTTCCTTGGTGGACTATGATCATCATTTCTATTCCTCCTAGGTGGACTATGATCATCATTTCTCTTTTGCTTCCTTGGAGGACTCACATCACCATTTCTACCTGAATTTCGCCTTGGAGGACTGTCATCTTCAGAACCATCATTCTCATTCTTCACACTGTCATACTTAAACTCTCTAATATAATCATTTTCAGGATTCTGCTCTTTTTTAACTCTCGATGGACTGTATTCATCCCCATTACAAGTCTCTGTATCACTGTTAATTTCCTCTTTCACAATTATAACTGGCTTAAAAGTACTGCTTAAGAAGACATCTGTCCTCAGCTCGGCTGGTCTATCATCAATGATTGCAACAATCTGAGGGGCATCCTCAGCTTCCTGCAGATCATCCTGCACAGCCTCAGTGAATATCTGACTATCTAAATCATCGTCTATTATTTTGATCCTACTAAATAAAACAAAAACAAATTACTATGGATCTGATAAATTGAGCATACTGAGAAATTTACCTGCTGGTAACAGCATTGACCTTCTTCCTGCGTTTGCTTTTCTTCTCTTTCTTATCACCCTTGGATAAATACCTCTTCAGATATTCTTTCTGATTAATTTCACTCATTATACTTGTTTCGGGGTAGTTCGCAATTGATTGGTTATGTTTATAAATTGATAGGTTATGTATTTTTACTCTCACACTCAGAGACCTCTATAAATAACAACCCGAATTATAAAGGGAAAATCAATATTTTCTTAATCTGCATCCCTGTTTATAAGGATTGAAGGTCTAGTCTTGTCGTGTACAAATTATAATTAATAGCAAGCAAAACAGTGCACAGCAAGTGTGAATCAAAGTAAGGAAGATGTTGGGCACAGATGTATTCAGCGAGAAGCACGAGAAGATGCTGAATGATTGTTTGGATTCTCTACGTACGAGCAGCAGCTTAGTCAACGAGTACGACGATGATAACGAGGAGGACAACATCGAGAAGATGCAGAACATAACAAAGTCGTTCTGCGACGCAGAAAAGGAGTACGAGATGTCTCAGATCGCACTTGAGCAGACAGCAGAGTACTTTGATAATAAAGAGGGATTGAATACTGTTGATGTCAGAGAGATGTATCTCAAGTATCTGAAGGATGTTGACTCATCAACAAGCTTCACCGAGCATCAGATCTGGAAGGCCATTGAAGGTATCATTGATCCTGGACAGAAGAGCAAAAAACCAGATGACTGCCACGATGACAGTTTGATCTGTACCACTGCATTCACTGTACCAATTGATCCCATATCCAAAAAGGTGGTGATGAATCCATGCGTCAACAGTGTCTGCAAGCACATCTATGAGTTCAGCGTGATCATAAAGTACATCCAGACCAAGAAGAAGGGTAACATCAGATGTCCATACATTGGTTGCACCAATAAACACATACAGGTCAAGCACCTGGAGAAAGATCCTGAATTGGAACTGAAAATCAAGAATTTTCGTCCCTCGACCTCTGATTGTGATTGCAATACCAGTATTACTAATATAAGCATGTAAATGCAGAAATCTTAAATGTTGAATGTTTGATCATTCATTTAAGTAATAAATGCCAAATATTGTTAGATTATATTGACTGTTCAGTTTCATACATTCATGCTTTGTTATTATATTTTTCAAAGGTGAAAAAAAAAGAATATTTATTAAATATGACTATATAATCTATAAATAGTAATATGTAACTTAGAAATAAGAAAATAAAGCGTTTTCTCTCAAATTAAATGTAATGCAACAAAAGTGTATTAAATACAATAAAAAACAATTAAAAAGTAAACCATAGTTTTATTAAATTAATAAAAAATAGGAGGAATTAGTATTGATCAAAGTAGCAAATTTTGACTGAAGAAGTTCTAACATTCAAACATTCCATCAACCAAGAATTTTAGATGAAGATTTGTAAACATTCATTTTTAAAATTCAAATCTTTCTGTTAGAAAAAATTCAATTCTCAAATTATTTTCAAAGAAGAATGTTTCAAGATTAGGATAATGTAGAATGAAACTAGGAAGGACACTGAAATGGAATTAAGAGAAAAGAAAGAGTTAATGAAGATGTGTTACATAAAACTACTTAATAGTAGTAATAATAAACGAAATAAAAAAAAACTAATAATTTAAATGATTTCCTTTAAAATGTTTATATTTATTCTAATTTCGTCCCACAGTTTTACAAGATTGTCACATCAAATACATTATGTTTCAACGCGTTAGCAATAGCAATAATCTTAAGCTGCGAAGCAACGACAATCGTTCCTTCTGTTTATTTTTCTGTTTAGTTTCTTTTTTACACAATAAAATTGAAATGAAGAGTTTTGCGTTGTTGTTGCGGCGGTAATCATATCACAGAGTTGCGACCCAACATAAATATATGTATAAAATATAAATATAAACCGCTTTCAACATTAATATTTTCTATCCAAAAGAACAAACAAAAATTACAAAAAAAAAACACAATTTGATGATGATATTCATCTCGATTTGTGGTCCACGTTCAACTTCCTCATCATATTTTTAAATACATCATTTTATAAAGAATATATATTTATATATTTTTTTATATTTATTTATAAAATAACATCCCTGATTCTTATATGAATAATAATACATTTACAAAATATTGTTTTGCGCTTTTCTTATTTACACTGAATCAAATTAACTAAATGGTGAATTAGTAGAGGGAAAAAGAAAATATTCTAAATACACGAAATAAACATATAAATAATAATAATAATTAAACATAAATATTAAAGACTAATTTACTTAAAGCCAAACAAAAAAGTGCAATTTCTCACGTGCGTGAAGAAAAATTGAAATCCGAAAACGTTTTTTTTTCCTTTCTTGCTCTATTCTAAACTCAAATATCTTACGAATAGTTTAAAATGTTACGTGCATATTATAGTAATAATAAACAATATTTGTAGCTATTTTGTGTGTGTGTTGAGTGGACATTCGGGTTCCGTAAATGAGCGTTTCCAAAGTCTCCGCATGAATTATTCAATCCAATTGGAATGTTAATGATGCGTTTTATATTTTGTTGCAGATTGAAATTTTTAGAATTGTGCAATTGCCGTGCGTTTTTTCGATAAATAATTCATCGGAATTGGTAAATAACTGTTCTTTATAACATTGGAATGCGTTTAGATAATAAGTAACTAGTAAAAATTATATTTACATCGAGCGTCGAAGTATTTACAGACAGCTGCGTCTACGCGTATTCCCTATGGATTCTCTTTTTTTTTGTATATATATATATATATATATAAATAAATTATACACACTTAATACTAAGAATAAAATAATAACCACAACATGTATAACAATAGGCAACAATATAGGAGACGTCGAGAATGATGCGTTTTTTTTTTGGGCCGTGGTTTTATTTACTTGGAGTGGACGAGGTTCAGGAACTCTTCCCTGGTCTTCGGATCGTCCCTGAACACGCCCAGCATCGTCGACGTAACGGTTTTGCTGTTGATCTTCTGCACTCCCCTCATCACCATGCACATGTGTCTGAAAACATTCGAAAATTCAAAATCAATTAACATCTCCCATTTGATTGCATCATCATCGATGAACACTTACACTCCTTCGACGACGACTGCAACGCCCGCCGGTTGAACTGCTTTCGTAACGGCCACCGCGATCTGCTTGGTAAGACGCTCCTGAACTTGAAGACGTCTCGAATATATCTCGACTATGCGAGCCAACTTGCTCAGACCCAAGATCTTTCCGCACGGCAAATAACCGATGGAGACTTTCCCGTAGAACGGCACCAGATGATGTTCGCACATGCTGAACATCTCAATGTCCTTAACGACGACCATCTCGTCGTGATCCTCGTCGAAAATCGCATCGTTGAGGACCTCTGCAATACAAACAATACAATTCTCGTTAATAGAGGATTTCAGTTTGATGCGCGCTGTCATCAGCAATTGTCCACTCTTCTCTTTCTCTTCGTGACACGCTCTAATTGATTGATTTTTAAACAAGAGCACACACACGTGTGTTAATTGCATTTCGTAATTAAATCCAAACAAATTCAAGCATCAATTCATCAATTTCAATTCTATTTCATACATGTAATCCAAAATATATCAATTTTTTTCTCAGTTCAAGTTTAACTTTAAATAAAACAAAATTCATAGTCAGTCCTTTCTTTCAATTCTCGAATTTAACATTAATTTATATAAAGTTAAGCTTGAAATATTTCTTTCGATAATTTTAATTTCGTAATTATCTTAAAAAGTACATCCTTTTAACAATAATTAAACAAACTCTTTCGGTATTTTACATCTAAAATTAATTAACATAAATTTAAATCAAGTGGATGTCAAAAATGAAATATTTTAAAGCTAAAATTTCAAATAATTTAAAGAATTTATAACGTTAAAAGGATTTTCAATGGAAAATAAATTTTCCTTGAATTGTTTTCCAAATAAATTATTCTATTTACGTTATCTCATAGAAGTCATTTTCTGGAAATTTTAATAATTTTATTTTCATATATATTTTTTATATAAATTTACATTTTACGTGAAATATTGTGATTTTTGTAAAAGATTGAAAATTTATATAATTGACACGTGTATGAAAATGTTATTCATGATGATGTCACTTTAGCTTTATGTGAACATGTATAAAATCAAACAAACCAATATAAATTTACACTAAAATTAATGCCAGGCGTGTTATAAACATTTTTTTTTAAGTTCAAACACATCTACAGCAAATATTCAAGTGTTTTTCAATTTATTTATAACTTTTATTAATGAAAATTGTTTAAACATTAACTGTCAATGTGGTTCAATTATTGATCTAATCACAATAATAGCTTTTGTTTTTGAAGTATATAAACGTGATTAACTGTCAGTTACAACGAAAAGTCAGTTGAAGCTGAAATATTGATCGAAACGAGAGGATTAGATTTATGTATGTTCAAAAACTTATGTTACTTGCAAAATTGTACGTGGATGTCTGAAACGGGTAATCTAATTTCGGACAAAGGCCGTTGAATTTGTCAAAGCAGTGCATGTAATTGATGTAGTGATTTCGGATGAAAAGGGAGGGTTATGATGATAAAGTTGTCAGCTGAAAGGCGTCTCTCGAATGTACGGGCTCCGCCCGACATTAATTGGGCTTCGTAATTGGACTAACGGAGAGGAAATTAACTTCTACAATCTAATGGCGTATAGCCCTTCTAGAGTCTGGCAGCTCTTCGAACGTTCAACAGGTTTTAACTAAGTTGATCCACTCTGCTGCACCATTAACAACACTGTTATAAGCAAAAAATCGCAGAAATGCGTAATTATTTATCATAGACTTTATCAAAGCATGATCATCACGATTTCAATCAAAATAATGAAAATTTTTACCTAAATATCAAATTTAATGTGTGAAACAAATGCAGAAATAGAAATATTCACATAGCATACTTTTTATTTAAATTCATATGAAATTTTCAACTTTAAACTTTGTAATCGAAATCTCAAATAAACTAATCAAGTGATAAGTAGAATCGTCTTAATATTGATTATAATAAATTTAATTTTTGTACTGTTTTTTAAAGGTCTAATTATCAATTAACAAATATTATTAAAAATAATAAACAAACTGGTTAAATATTTATACTTACTATTTGGTAAACAAATAGATATAAACAATTAACAAACATTAAGTCAAACAAAACACAATAAGAAATGAAGATATTAATTATGAAAATAACAAGTAAAAATTTGATTTCTAATTTAATAATTCTTATTATAATTAATTTTAAATTAAATTTATTTTTAATTATATATATTTCTTTTACTTATAAACTTGTAAATATCGAAACATAACACGCAAACTTTTAGATAAAATTTTTTTTTTTGTAATAATAACTTTTTTCCTAAAAATTCAGATTATAGTTTTCGATAATTTGCTCTTTTCATATGATTAATATATAAATCTGAAATTCAGAGATTTTTTTTTGGTATCGTTATTTTATTCGGTCGATACTGAAGGAATGAATGAATCGCAGCGTGCTATGTTTTAAGTTGACTGCTGTAGATTGTCTTCTCGTATCGGGCGAGCTTAGATAAATGTGCCGTTTCCTAGGTAACCGCGCCCTAAGGATACGGATAATTTCTGATGCAGGAAGCCGTACTCTCCTTGGAACGATAAAACTACTGAACGTCACTTCAGAATTAATACACAATACATTTATTGTTCGCTTCGCATCGGAGGAAACAAACAAAAATCTATATTGATAATTAATGATGATGATGGTTAAGGTTTCACTCTAATACCCGGCACATGCACCATAATTCCGATACAAGTAAAAACGATAAAATAAAAATCATGTTCACTTCATTCATTCTTTCTCTCTTAATCTCTCTTTCTCACTCACTCACGCATAAAATATATATTTTTTTCTCTTTTTCTCTTACACACTAAATCGCTATCCAAGGGATATAAGAGAAAAGCTCTGAAAGCTTAAAAGCAATTTATCATAGACTCACGTACGAACAAGAAAAAAAAAGATAGAGAGAGAAAGAATAAAATAAAAGATTGCAAGAAGACGAAAGAGAGAGAGAGGAGGACGAAATGTATCAATATTATCCGGCTCCGAAAAGATCCACTCAGCAATAATTGAATACAGCGCGTCGAATTACCGATTCGAGGAATCCCCGCAGGACGAATTATCGTTCCCATTCAACGGATCTCCTCTTTTCTATTTTCTTTACAGATGATAATAATCCTATAAATTGAGGTAACATCATTTTTTTATAGTGGATTCTAAGCGTAGAGTTTAATTACATTGAATGAATGAACAAGAGAAAGAGAGAGAAACCGTTTTTTTTTTTGTTGGAATAGCTAAATTGTTCTCTGCAGATATTGCACAAAGCATGAATAATGGAAGGGCTTTTAACGGTAGAGGAAATAGAAGAAAAAAAAAGTGAAGAGACGAAGAGTCCCTTATCCTTTTGCTCGAATGCTTGACCACGAACGAGTGCTCTCAGCGGGAAATCGCGCATTCAAATTACAATTTCATTTTATACAGTTTCTTCCACTTTTATTTAGTGGGTATTTCCCCACTTCGCTATATATAAAAGAAAGCAATTATCCAAGTGCAAGTAACTGAACAATACATTTAATTGGTTTAACACTTGGGTTTAATTCTTTCAATTGTAATTCATACCTGCAATATATTACAATCATTAGAACCTAATTATTATTCAAAATTGCTTTAATTGGATTTTTTTTTAATATTATTGTTTTCTAATTTGCATTACTTTACTATTCTTTTTAATTTTCTAATTTTAATCTATAAATATAAAATATATTCATTTTTATTATTTTACATATTTTAATTAATTTACAATAATAATCAATAACAAATTTTTCGATATTTTAATTCAATTTATTCTTCACTTTTTTTTTAATAATTTGTTTCTCCAAAATTATTCATAAATTAAATGTTTTCTTTTTAAGTTTTAGATATTTTTTGGTATACAATAAGAATCAGAACATTATTTCAAATACAAACGTTTTCTGTTTACAAACAAATTGACATATTCTAAGAAACGAGCAAATACTTGAGAATTCGTGATTTCGCCTTATAATTCATGTAGTAAAACAAAACTTTTATGTTTAGATTTATTTTACTCTGTTTTGTTATAATAATGGAGTTACGTAACCCTGGCTACATAATATAAATATATTGGAACAGTGGAACCTAGCTTAACGAGCACCTCGTATAACAAGCATTTCGCTTAACGATCAAAATGAATTATAAGAAAAATGACTCGCTTAACGAGCGACGTTACGCATAACGAATGACGATGAGAACAGAAGTCTCGGATATATATTATTTGTTTTTTATAAATATGTTTAACTATACTAGTAAAAATATGAAAATTTTGGAACGAATTAAACTCGTTAAGCGAGGTTTCACTGCATATAGAAAATAATTTGGTTTAATCATAATCAATTTTAGGATTTTATAATGAATTTATAATATCAATGTTATAATTTCACGGTTAACAGTCTTACCTTCTAAATTCTGAAGGAACGTCTTTTTTTTAAATGAATTTTCTGAGAATTTCGATACTATTTTAATATTTTTTTAAAATATACGCGCGATATTTTGACGTTTTAAGAAAATGACATTGTAACCATGGTTAAATAATATAACATTTTATAGATAATAAATCTAGTAATTACGTAGTTAAAAAAAATGAATAATCTTATATTGTTTATTGTAACTAGGGTTGCTGAACCGGAAATTCCCGCAACTTATTTCTGGAAAATTTTGGAAAAATATATAGTTTTAATACCCGGGAATCGTTCGGGACACGAGAAATTTTAAAATTGAAAATAGCTCTAAAAATATCTAATGATAACTTTGAAACATTTTCATGCAATATCGAGAACTTTAAATTTTTTTTCCTTAGCAGGAAATTTTGCTAAAAAATTAAGATTTTCAGACGAGTCCTGAAATAAAATAAAAATTTCAATATGTATGTACTTATAATACATTATTATGTTATTTATCTATTTAATAAACATTTAGTTTACTATTTGTTATATTGCCAGTTTTCTTTGTATTTCGTGCATTGATTATAAAATAATGTATTTCATTTATATTCATTTTTTACATTTTTTTATATTTCTCGAGTCCCAAGAATTCCCGGGAATGCCTTAAACCGTTGTCTCTTATCTCGGGAATAAAACATCGCATAAATTGTAACAATGGTTATATGACATTAATTTTAATAGATAATATATTTTAGAAAAAAAATCATTTTAATATTGTAATACTTTCAGTATACGAGATGTTCTGATGTTATAATAATATTGTAACCATGGTTATGTAAAGAAATTCCAATTTTGCATTATTTTTAGCATACGCGATGTCCTGTAGCTATATAACAAGGTGACATTGTAACCATGGTTATTTAATGTGAGGAAATATATTGAATATTCAAATTGAGAATTTTATAATTAGTTTCTAATCAGCGTTTCAAAGCGTTCCGAGTTTCACCTTTGAACGTTATAATATCACGGTCACAAGCATCCGTAGTAGCAGTAGCATTAGCAGCAGTAGCACTAGATGGTCTTACCTTCTAAACTCTGGTCGTAACCTTTGGTGAAGAACAGCATGGCTTTGGCCGCTCTTTCCGGCGTCTTGAGGAGACCTTGCCTCTCCGGATTCTCGCCCAAGGAGCCCAAGAGCAGCTTGTACGACCTGGACATCTCCGGAAGCATCGCTTCCCTCGTCGGCGGCCTGTGGTCCAGCTCTAGATCATGATGGAACGTGCACTTTTCGTGACCTGAAAAATTAAGAACATGAATCATTATTATCGCATCGTTGGACTGTGAAATCTCCAATTTCGCGAAGCGCCCGAGCCAAGCAAATGCGGTTTATTATTGGATCCATCGATTTATTATACAAGATTTTTACCCGACTCTCTCAAGTGTACATTTATATTATATATATATAAGTGTGTGTGTCCATGAAATTTTCCAAAGTAGACACTTTCTATTTTATTGCATAAATTACGGCTAACGCATATTTTATCACTGTATAAGACCATTTTGTTACTCTATGTAGTTCCATTACCTTGATCCACTCTTATACAGATATTTATTTAAGAATGCGCGTGTCTCTCCTCCAGCAACACATCTACCACATCTTGTTATTTATTTTTTTTTTAATTTAAATTTACTTTGAATCATTTTCACCTACCTTTTCTTCTATTTTTTTTTATAACTAAACAATTTGTATTATTTTTACGTTTTTTTGCTATTGTTTGAGACGCGCTGAAAAGTGAATTATTACTGAGCAGTTAGCAACTGCAGTCTCCGGTTTATATCCACTCCCGGACAATTGCATCATACCGATCGATGCAATCTTAATTGTTGATTGCACTATCATTTTTGCGGAACTTTCTATAAAATCGCATCGTAACTAATACAGATGGCATTTCAATGTTAAGCGGCAGCAGCCTTAGAATGTCCCATTGTTCACAGCTTCACTTCGTTTCATCTTGACTCTTTTTTTTTTTTTTCGCTATTCATGTAAACTTTAGCAAAAACGTGACTTTACAAAAAAATTACCACTGCAAATCAGCAATGAAATGTAAGTTTATACATTTAACAAAAACACTTTTAAGTAATTACATTTTATATACGTGTTTTTTTTTCTATTTTATATAAAATCTAATTGTTTTGTTGTTTGTACAGATAAAAATCAATAATTTATAGAAATTCAAGTTGAAAAACACATCATTTTCCATCTCAAATGTAATAAAACTGAATTTTTATTTGCCTAAAAAATCATTAAAATTGCTGGTATTTGTTGATGATATTCAACTAAAACAACAACTAATTAATAACAAAATATAAAAAATAATTGGTTCAAATAAGTATATTTTCTTATCCATGTTTTTTTATCATAATTATTATGTTTTGTATTTCTCCTTATTTGTTTATTTACGTCAAAATCAATAATTAATAGAAATACGTTTTGTATTTTCATGTTGACAAAACTAATAATTTTTCATCTTAAATTGTAATCAAATTTATGTAAACTGAAACAAATTGTGATGAACTATATAAAAGAAAATTTACTTATTAATTTATAATTTTTGAATGTTTTTTATGATACAAATTATGAATAAATGTTAAAAGAAATTTGAATTTCCTTGTCTACAATTATTAAAAAAATACGCTTTTTCTAAGTGAGATTAAAATACATTCAAATTAAAAATATTATATAATGATTATTACATATTAATCGAATTTGTCAGGAAAGAAAGACATATTCTCAGTGAAACTAAATGCACGAATCGATTTGATTTACTAATTAGATATGCACGTCGTCTAGAGATTCGAAGAAACTCGAAGTGAAAATGAACGTTTTCTTTAATGCTTTTCTTCATTCGAACAAAGAGAGTCCCAACATTTTGAAGCATTTTCTCAAACCCATTTCGTTTGCTTCGCAAATATTCGAAAATCTGGGTCAACAGGAAATCGACTGATTCCAATCACACAACATGCTACTACTACTACCTAAATTACATTACACATTACATATATGTATGTCTTTTTTTAAATCTACATATCTTATTATAAACATAATAAGATTTAATATGATGGAAGCAAACTATTCAATTTTGTGAACGTTTTTAATTTGCTCTTATGAAGACCTTTTGTGTAATTTCAATTATTTACTTTATTTGATAATAAAACATAAAAAATTGAAATTTCTGAATATGATAAAATCCTGTAATGTAATTCAGTTTAAATATCAAAAAAATCGTTCTTTAATAAATAATATTTTTAACCTTGAATTTTCAACAATATTCAATAACACTTTAATAATTGAATAATACTTATTAGATAATCATATACACACTACAGGAAATTTACATGTGAATTGATATTTAATTGTGATTCGTATTGTTGGTGATTATTGGTAAATAAAAAGAGTCTTAAAACATTGTATAAGAATCGAGTATTAAAAAAAACTGTTAATAATTGTTGGTTACGACCTTACATCACTAACATTACGTTTTCTCGTATTTATTCTCACCGAACTTCTTAAAATTTGACATGAATTTGTCGTTAGATTCAGGAAATTTACATGTGAATACATGAGATATTTAATTGTGATTCGTATTGCTGGTGGTTATTGGTAAATAAAAAGAGTCTGAAAACATTGTATAAGAATCGAGTATAAAAAAAAACTGTTAATAATTATTGGATACGACCTTACATCACTAACATAACGTTTTCTCGTATCCATTCTCACTGAACTTCTTGAAATTTGACATGAAATTGACTTTAGATTCAGAAAATTTACATGTGAATTGATATTTAATTATGATTCGTATTGTTGGTTATTATTGGTAAATAAAAATAGTCTGAAAACATTATATAAGAATCGAGTATTAAAAAAAACTGTTAATAATTGTTGGTTACGACCTTACATCACTAAAATCTATTCTGTCAAATCTTCTTGAAACTTGACATGAAATTGACGTTAGACTTTATCAAATTGACAAACAACTTTTGTTTTTTTTTTTCAAAAACATATGAAATAACGCCTACTTAGCGAACATCATATATTAATTTATAACGTAATTATGTAATAAGTCTTTTGATTCTTCAATGAATAATGTTTAAAATGTAGTAAATTTCTTATTACTATTGGAACATTTACATTGAAGATGATCCAAAACTGTACTTTGTGTTTGTTCTAAAATTTTATTAATTTATCTGAATATTAAACCAATCAATTAAATATTGTAATGTAACTTTTTCAGTAAATATTAATGAATGTAGAAAATTGTATTAGTAAATTTGATATTCTGAAATTTATATTTATTCAAATGAAAATTTCAATGTAAATTAATGCTTAATTCTATTACTTCTTGCTTCAATATAATTGTATTTCTTTTAACACTTAATGGTTAAATAAATGTATATATTTATATATAAAATATCATATAATAACATTTATAAATGGATTTTTTGATGATTTTTTTAATTGATAAAAATAGATAAGATTATGAAAATATATCTATTTTTTGAGTTATTATTAAGTCTCAATATTCAGACATAATATAATAATTAAAAAAAGATGTTTCCAACAACAATTTCTGACAATTATTATTAGATTTATACTAAAGAAATTTACATGTAATTGCATTTTATGCTGTTGTTAATTATTGGTAAATAAAAACGATAAGATTCAGAACAAAATGCAATAAATATAGAGGAAAATATATAAAATTTTGTAAAAAATAAATAATATAATTTGAGTTTTTATTACTGCTTCAATATTCAAAGATTAATATAATAATTTTAATAAAAAAGTTGATGTTTCCAACAACAACTTCTTACAATTATTAATAGATTTATACTAAAGAAATTTACATGTAATTGCATTTCGTGCTGTTGTTCGTGTTATTGGTAAAAAAAAATATAAAATTAAGAAGAAAATGCATTTATTTTTTGAGGAAAATCTGAGTTGTATAACTTTGTTTATATAAAAGAAATAAATAATATTTCCGACTATTATTGTTGTTAGATAATCATTTGCGTCAAAAAGAAATTTACATACGAATTGATTTATAATTCGCGTTGTTGGTAAACAAAACAGATTATCCTATTGTTTGAGGAAATAACGAGAAACCGCTAATAATCAATTAATTGCACGTAAATTATCCATGGTTTTTGCTGTTTTTGTTGTTGTTGTTGTTGCATTCAATATAAATGATTTTTGTTTCAAATTTCTATACCTGGAGTAGTGGAGGATCTAGGTGTTTTCGGCGTTCCGGGCACCTCGACGTCCTCATAATTCTCGGACCAACTTCTGGCCAAAAGCGGACCCGGTTTCTTCGACTTAACAACACCGTTTTCCCGATTCGACGATGCGCTGTTCTCCATACTTCAAGTTAATATATTTATTTTTTTATGGATTTAAAGGTAAATCTGTTGCTGTTGCTGCTTCGCACTCTCCTCTCTGTCTGTGTCTGCGGCTCTCCCAAAACAGTTCTCGCACATTCACCGAACGCAGACTACTGACTTGCTTTCAGTCCGCAACAGGAGTTTTATACGTCGATCGTGTGCCTCCTGCTTCTTGCACTCCTGGCTTCCTCCGAAACCCAAAAAAAAAATCAACCGCTTTCCACCACCAGCAACATTAATTTCCACCTCTTCCACCTTTATTATTTATAACAAACAAATCTGTGTTATATTCATTGATTTACCGTAACGCATTTTTAATTGCATTCAAATAATTAAATGGACATCAAACTTCAATGACGCATTCGCAACCTCCGTATTTTCCATCGTTAAAGCCCACCGCTGCAGACTTTCGATCCACTTATCCAATCGAGTAATTATTTCCTTCTTCGGCAGGGAATTCCCTTCTCGCTTTGTATAATTGAATAATAACAATACAAAATAAATAAATAAATAAACGAGAGTTCTTTTCCTATAGTAAAACGTGAATTGGACGTGATTCCCCAACGATTTACCAACTCCAAGAATTGTAACACTTCTGGTTTTTTCCCAACTCTATTTCTTTCTTTCTTTCCCTCGAATTCTTAAGGCCTTTCTGCATATTCGAAATTGTTTCCGTAGAATTCGACACAAAGGAATCCATACACACACACACACATTTACTGCGATCGTTTTGTTATCAACGAAACGATGAAAATATAATTGATGGAGGAGAAACCTTACTAATTAATTGATTGATCGATTTATTAGCGCATTGAATGGCATGGAGAAAGAATAACGTAATAAAAAGAAGAAACAGAAAGGTAATTCAACAAGTGCCTTGAAACCTTGAAACTAATAACCGCGTTGTATCAATATATTCACAATAATTATAAACTCGGAGCTCTTGTAACATTCTAAAGTGTCGTTAGATAAGAATACGAGTAAATTGCGGACGACCTCTTGCATCAATGTTAGGAACAAGCCTTACTTACTTACGCACGCATGTATATATCTATATATTTCTTTATTTCATTCCTTCATTTCGTATCTTGGAATAATGCGACGTAATTAGTTCAGCACTTTGAAGTGCTGCTGCTTTCAAGAACAATTTCCGACTCGGGCTTCCTACCAATTTCCTAACCGCTCCCTGAGGAGAGTTAAAATTGCTACCGGAAAGTGCGGACAAAAGAAAAGACGAGAGAATGAGAGAGAGAAAAAGATTTAGTGAGAAGTTCTTTCTTTTGCTGTGTGTAGATGGATTCAGATTTTTACTCATTTTTTTTTCTATATATAACTTGCAGATCGTAAATGTTCATAGCTTCTGCATAAAGAATTTATTGGTAATATCCCAAGGCGCGACCGGAATGGACCTCCTCTACTGCTGAGGTATAAATCGCACTTTAAACGTTGTATTATGTTCGGATTTGAGAGAGCATTTTATATATTATATATATTTCACATTACTATCAAATCCGTTTCATAACTCGAACTACACTTAACATTCATGTGACAACAGCCATTACTTTTGTTTAACCCAAATCTATATAACTTCATTACTCACTAAATACTATTCAGTTTAGTAAAGTAAAGTAATCCAAACAGTATTAATTATAATTTGTAAAATATTATGATAAATGCTGTAATACATCTTGAATTTTGTTAACTAATTTAGAAAAGTTATATAACATTTGTAATGTACGAATTGTCAATGTCAAATGTCAAAAAAATAATAATTGTCACTTAAATATAACAATCAATTACAAGATTTGTTTGACGTGTCAAATTAATTTTGTTATAGAAAACAAATCATTAAATCTAAATATACTTAAGTTATGCAATATTATTGAAATTTTTAAACCGTTTATGAAAATATAATGGAAATGTCATATTTATATTGTGACATTTTTTATTATAATACAATTTTTATTATTAATTAATTGTTTTTATATTGATTTGTAAAATTTAGTATAATTACTGCAATTAATCAATGTATAAAATCAATAAAAAAAAATCAGTCTACTTTCTATCAATACTGAAGTACTATTATATTTCGATCACCAATTCAAATATTATCCACAACACTTCATGCTTTACTTTTGTTAATTAACTAAATTATTATTTATTAAACTAGTATTTAAATTCCAATTAAAATCGGAGTTACTGGATACTTAACGTCAGATTAAAAACATTCACAGTCTTCTTGATTGTTCTTAAATTTATATACAATTTAATATAAATTGTGCAATTGTTTTAATTTAATGATCACATACTATTATATTTCGATCACCAATTCAAGTACTATCAACAACACATCATGCTTAACTTTTCTTAGGTAACTAAACACTTTTTCTTTAAACTTTTAGTATTTAAGCCAAGTATCACCAGAACTATTGGACACTTAACGTCAGATTAAAAACATTCACAGTCACAGCAATTGTTTTAATTCAACAATCACATGTAATACTATTATATTTCGATCACCAATTCAACAACACTTCATGCTTAACTTTTGTTATATAACTAAATACTTTTTCTTAAACTGTACTATTTAACCCAAGTAACAAAGGAACTACTGGATACTTAACGTCAGATTAAAAACATTCACAGTCTTATTGATTATTCTTAAATGTATATACAATTTTATATAAATCGAGCAATTGTTTTAATTTAACGATCACATGTAATACTATTATATTTCGATCACCAATTCAACAACACTTGATGCTTAACTTTTGTTAAGTACCTAAATATTTTTCCTTAAAACTGTAGTATTTAACCCAAGTAACAAAGAAGCTACTGGACACTTAACGTCAGATTAAAAACATTCACAGCCTTCTTTATTATTCTTAAATTTATATACAATTTTATATAAATCGTTATATTTAACGATCATATGTAATACTATTATATTTCGATCACCAATTCAACAACACTTCTTGCTTAACTTTTGTTAAGTAACTAAATACTTTTTCTTAAAACTGTACTATTTAACGCAAGTAACAAAGGAACTACTGGATTACTTAACGTCAGATTAAAAACATTCACAGTCTTATTGATTATTCTTAAATTTATATACAATTTTTATATAACTCGTGCAATTATTTCAACATGTAACATTGTTAATCGTTAATTTGTGAATAAGTGTGTTTGTAGATGAGAAAATTTGATTCGATGCATGAGCAAAGCAAATAGATCGTTGCGTAATGAAAGATGATGAGTTATAATAAATAGCGTTATCAAACACTCCGACACGCGAAGAATTATTCGCAATAGAGAAATAATTTTCGTAATAAAAACGAAAACAAACAAAAAACTGTTATTTTTTGTAATAAAAAAGGTCAAATTTATATATAATTTAAAGGAGATTTACAACATTTTTCCAATGAAATGCAAGTTTAAGAATCAAATCAAGTATGTGCAGTTGTAATAGAAGCGATTCTCAACATTTTTGTCACACGATCCAACATATTTCGTTGTAATTATACTGCGACTCAATTGTTTATGTTTTATTTTGATGTTTTGACGTAAGGTGACAGCTGTCAAAGTGAAATTGATTTAATCAGTAAAAAGATGAAATAACACAAGAAAAATTATTCCACATATGGATTAATAATTTAGTTGTTTAATTAAATGAAGATTTGCATAGTTAAAGCATAATTATAACGATATTAAATCATCAAATAATTAAGTTTCATCATTATCATTAAGTTTAAATGCTTAAAAAGATGTAATATCAAAGAATGAGAAAATCTTCGTAATGAAATTGTGTTATTATTATACTTGTTTAATGAAGAAGAATGATCAAAGTTGTAATAATTAACAAAAGATTTGCAATATCTTTCAAATGAAAAGGATTAAATCAAATACGTATTAAACATGTTTATTACGTTTCCGCTCGGGAGGATACACAAAACAAGCTATAATTACCATAACTAGATATTGATTATGCAGCAAATAAAGATTGTTACAGTTCTCACTTTTGTTTGAAGCAATGAAAAAAAAACACACTTTCATGATTTCGGTAGTACTCACTTTTGCAGCAATTATTGATGGCGACGATCTCCTTCTCACCGTTATTGATTCCATTCTTCATCGTTTCCTTCATGACTGCAGTTTCGGATTGAAATGAAAGCTGTTGCTTGATTATTGCGCGTATCGACGACGACGACGATGGAAGAGCGTTCGAAATTGTTAGAGTTTTTAGTGATTACTGACCCCGTGGATAAAGTATATCGTGTATTTTATTAGGTTCATTCGGGTGACGTCGAATAGCATTGAATCGCTCTCTCCCCACACACACTCACACTTCGCCGTTTCCACACTTCTTGATATCATTATTATTGTTGTTGTTGTTATTATTATGAATACCCTTGCCATTGATATTATTACTCACTTTTACTTCGAACGACGTCCGGCAAGCAAGAAAAGAGAATTACAGAAAGAAAAAATAACCCTCTCCGATTTCCATTAATTTTACGCATCGTTTACAACCATTGTTTTGTTTGCAAGGACAACGGTGGCAACAGTCTTGAGCTCATTCAGGAGAGAATTGCGGCAGGAAGCGAACTGCAATCGCAAATCAATTGTACCGGAAAAAATGAAGACAACTTTAGTCCTTCCACAATCCTTCTTCAATTTATAATCAATTTGATATATTTGTATACAACCTTGAAATACTAATAAACGTATTTATGTCCAAAGGAAATAAGTGATTTCAGTTAAAAGTTTCATTCAGAGATAATGGCAGCAGGAAGTTCATTACAAATCGTATCGTTGCACAAATCGATTGGACTTAAAGAAATAAAGAAACTTTAATCATTACACAAATCATCAGTAATTTACATTCATTTGATTATTGCTGCAAATAACCTTGAAATACTTACAAATTCAGTCGTGTTTAATGAGAGTATTCCAGCAGGAAGTTCACTGCAAATCGTATCGCTGCACAAATCGATTGGATTTAAAGAAATGAAAAAACTTTAATCCTTAAACAAATCATCAGTAATTTATAAATTCAGTCGTGTTCAATCACTGCAAATCGTATTGCTGCACAAATTGATTATACTTGAAGAAATTTAATCATTATACAAATTATCAGTAATTTACAATCATTTGATTATTGCTGAAAATAACCTTGAAATACTAACAAATTCAGTCGTGATCAATGAGAGTATTGCAGCAGGAAGTTTACTGCAAATCGTATCG